TTATGGCCCCTTCTCCGATAGGGGTTGTTCGGATGAGGGCGCAGTTGCGGCTCCGTTCCCAACCGGATGGATCGCATCCCCTTTCTCGTTCATCTCCGGCGCAACTGCTGGCCCACTGCCGTTAACAGCTGCTGGCTTTGCCGCTGTGGGTTTCTCTGGTGTCGTTTTCCTGGACAAGCTCGCTGTTTCGGGCTCTTCTGGAATCGTCGCAAATTTCTTGAGGACCTGCTTCAACGCAGGTCGTCTGATAGGCTTACTCAGGAACTCGTCCATGCCACTCTCCATACATTCTCTGACGTTGCTTTCTTCTGAGAAGGCGGTCAATGCCACGATAGGAGCTTTGTAACCCATCTTGCGGATGAGTTTTGTTGATTGCAGGCCATCGAGATTGGGCATCTGAATATCCATAAAGATGACGTCGAATCCTTGGTTTTTATCCATATTCGCCTTAACCAGGTCGTACGCTTCCTGGCCGTCCTTGGCGATGGTAACATCATAGACGTCTTCAAGCTTCAGCATTTTGCTAACAACCTCAATATTGGTCGAGTTGTCATCAGCGACAAGCACCCGTAGCTTTCCTTCCTGGTTGGCTTTCGTAGCCATTGCCCGATCGATGGCTGCCATTTGCTGCTTTGTGTTTCGCTTGGCTTTAGGCGCTGGATTTGACGCGAAGAAAGGCTGGCTGAGGCCGACTAGTCTTGGTTGTTGATCAAGTAGGTTCTTTGCAGTTGTTTCGCCGGCTGGCTTGATAGGCGGGCTGACGGGAGCCCCGCCAGAGTTGCGCTTCGCATTATGAACACTGTCGATGCCTTCGATGGCATCGACACTTGGAGGCCGAGACTTGATGCTGCTAGAGGCGGTGCTCGAGGCCCTGTAGGATCTCGTCGTCAGTACATGAACCCAATGGCTTTACAATCATCTAGACATACCTGTCCTTGACATATTTCAGGGGAATTTGCATAGTGAATGTCGTGCCAACCCCGACAGTGCTCTTCAGCGAGATAGATCCACCCATCAGACTTGCAAGTTGGTGGCAGATACTTAATCCCAAGCCTGTGCCGCCAAACTTTTTGCTCAAACCTAGGTCGCCTTGAACAAAGGGTTCAAACACCTTCTGCTGCATGTGTTCAGCGATTCCCGGGCCGGTGTCCTCCACTTCGAATTCGAACACGAAGGCCTTCGCACCAGGCGGTGGCGGCGTAGGAGATCGCTCCCGAACCTGAATGTGAGGTGTCGACTTGGGCTCCATAGGGTTAATGCTCAAAGCAGTGCCCTTGACGGGTTCAGAAGTCGAGCCTCCTCTAGAACTCACAGACGGATTCGAGCTGTTGTTCGTTCGGTGTCGGCCTCTGCCCTGTCGTCTAGATTCCTTCGAGAACGATGACGACCGGCTGCCGTCATTTGCCGGTGATGTTTCCACCTCGCCGATACACTTGATGCGGACATCAACCCGGCCACCTGCTGGCGTGAATTTGACACTATTGCTCACTAGGTTGATGATAACCTGGAGAATGCGATGCTGGTCGCCCCATAGACACATATCCTTCAATCTACCGGTCCCGTGCGGTCCAAGAGCCGGTAGTCTGTTGTCGGTGCTGGTTCTTTCCGGGCTAGTGCTCAGTTCAATCGCTTCAGAGCTGAGGAAGTTGACGGTCAAGGTGATTCGACCTTCTTTGACTTGTTTGTCAAAGATGGTCAAGATTTGCGATCTAATGTCGGCAAGACGGAATTCCTTCTCTTCCAGATTCAGTTGTTGCCCAATCTGGTTCTTGGAAAAGCTTAGGAGATCCTCGAGTAGATGGAGTAGCAAGTCGCCTAAACGTGGTTAGCAAGGTATACAGCGACGAGCAAGCCAGATCGCATTTACCTGACTTGTAGAGTGTCTTGAGCGACTGCTTTATCCTGAGGATATCGCTCTCCTCCATACACACGGCGCACATGCCAAGGATACCATTTAGGGGTGTCTTCAGTTCGTGTGAAATGTTTGCAATGAAGAGCGTCTTGCTTTCGTTGGCGGCTTCGGCGGCCTTCTTGCTAATTTCGAGCTCACGGGTCCGATCCAAGACTTTCTGATCCAGGGAAAGGTACTGTTTGACCAGCTCGTCACTCATGTCGTTAAAGGTTTCCGTCAGCTCGGTCAATTCGTCGGTGATGAAGTGTTTTCGGTCAGTGACCTTGCCGGGGATTTTGAAGATGCGTCGGGTCGAATCGCGATCGTGCTCTGAGGCGGGTTTCTCCTTGGGCTTGTACCCTACCAACTTGAAGATACTGGTGATGATGCCATCCTTTTTAGAACGTTGTGTTCGTGCTGAAATTCCACCTGATCCAGGAGTTTCATCGCCATCGAATTCGGAATAATACCCATCCTCGTACCCCGGTGGCTGGATCGATTTCTCCGTTGCCGACTTGAGTCTCCTGATGGGCATCACGCTAAGATGCGCGCAAGGAAAGATGAGGATTATGATGAGACCTGCGGTGCCAAAAACACATCCCAGAATAATATTCCGCAATGTCTCAATAGGAGCGTCGGCCTCTGATTTGGCTTGTTCCACGACCACAGTCCAGTTAACGAGTGCGGTGTTGGTTCTTGCAAAACCCACAGCCACCGGAAGACCCTGTTCGTTGTTCGTAGAAAGCATCGAGCTCGAGTTGTTTGGTGCCGCGATCTGCTTGCTAAAAGAGGCGAGAACTGCCGGATAATCCTTCATTGGGAACGGGTCGTCGTCCTTGCCCGCTGACCAGCTTCTCTTATCGTGCCGGTCACCCTGCCCAGATAGTGGGTTGGGTGGAAGGACAAAGCTGACTGGCACGTTGTTGAGTGCGTCCGTAGGTGGTTTGTAGGTGCTGTTGCTGACCGCATTACTGGAATTGAACCTGTTCGACTTCTCAGTAGGGCCGACGAGCAGCACCAGTCCAGTATCCCCCAGACCCTCACGAGAATTGCGGATGCTAATAAGAGAATTCGCCGTGGCGACAAGCGTCATGTAGCCAAGGATGAATTCCTGCTGTTGGTTGTAACGAATCGGCACGGTAATTGAGATAAGGGCAGTTGTCTCATTGAGAATCAAAGGGCCAAGTAGCAGACCACCGTTTGTGGAAATCCTAACTCCTTCGAACGCGTTGGCTGCATAAGCCCGAGTGTTGTTCCTATACTGATTCTGACGGCCGAGATCTTGGTAGGTAATGTTTGGGTAGAGAGCTGGCGGGTACCCCTCGGCGGTATCGGAAAGGAAAATTTGGGAGCCATTGGCGCCAGGATATGGCAGAGCGATTTCAGGAACCTTTTCTCCAGTCACGTTGAGTAGACCATAGCCGTTACCAGTGATGTTCCGCGAATAGATTCTCCCTTGCAATAGACCTGTGAGTCCGCCGACGCTCAGCGCACTATTAAGATCGCCTCTGGCTTGAACCCAGTTATCGTCCGTGGTGTTTCCATCGTAGAAAGTGAAAAGGGAATTCTGGATTAGGATTCGGGAAGAAATGGTGATGATGCTTGTCTGAACGAGTTCGAGCTCGGCAGAAATGCGTGAAGCCTTGAGCGAGGCAGTAAGGGCGAGTTCGCGCCCTTCGACCTGGGTGACAAACTGATTGACGTAGATCCAGACGGGGACGGAGAGGATCATCAAACCAACGAGAACAGCAATCACCACAAGGAAGGCGAGCTGTTCTCGAATGGCGACCCTGACGCCCATTTTGAACAGACTATAACGAGGAGTCTGGCAGTGTCTGGGCGGCCTTCATCGTCTGCTATGGTGATTCTCGGGATCCTAGGTTCGATGCGTCGCGTTGGTGTTGTCGTGGGACAAACTTGACTGGCGGCAAGTCTTCCTCGAAGAGTTGCTTGGCACGCGGTCGCCCAGGAGGAAAAGTCGCGGCGGTTGACTGGGTATCCGCAATTTCCCCAAAGATGCGTTTCGTTTTCCTTTTCGTCGGCAGCAGCAGGGATTTGCGGTGACTTGCAAACGGTATTCGGGGGGGTTGATAAGCGAGAACGGCCGTGGGATTGGGGGGAGCCAAAATGCGCCGACAGTCGAAATGAGCGTGAAGGACGGAGCAAAAATTGGATTGGAAGATTCGTCACAAGAGAGAATAGTTTGGCCGACAGACGAGGGATTGTCTTGGTGTCGGTTGAAGCGGAGGGTGACTGAGTGGAATGGAATGGGCTGAGAAGGGCGAGCAGAAAGAAGACCGGCCGCTGAGGGTGGAGCCGCGGGAGGAGCTGGGATGTCGCCCCGCTAGGATCAGGTTCAGGGTAGGTACGAAGTACGTTGGAGTCGCAGTGGAGTGCCCTGTAGTGTATTCAGACTGATGTGCAGGTGCGAATTGGGGAAGTACTTACGAGGTACGTACAGACGACCTCGCTTTGGTTCAGCGTAGTAGAGATGGAAGGGGGGCAGAGGAGATGGAGGAGAGATACCTCAAGAACCTGTCTCCTGCCAGCTGGGACGGCAAGGTAGGTATTTCTCGGTAGGTTTGGCTCCAAAAAAGGTACCCTTTCCTTGACTGCGACCCGACGGAATATTTCCACGAAGAGGATGGTCGAAAAGCGCTTCGCGAAATTACCAAGACAGCACACAGCACCCAAAACGAAACGAGACATTTACAAGCCCGGTTGCATGGATGCAAAGAGGAAGAAGCTCTACGGATAGGCGGGACTGGTGCAACGGGCCTGAGGACGGGATCTGTCTGTCATTTGTGTAACGACGCTGAGACTGAGACTGATGATGATGAAGGACGAGGGAGGGTTGGAGGGCAATGCTCATGGAAGAGGCCACCACCACCTCACGGAGAGCGAGGTACTAGGCAATGCAGCATCTCGAGGGAGCTATCGTACTGTGCTACGGTACTTAGCTGGCTGTCATCGGTTGCCATGCTCGCGTTTTGTTGGAGACGAGACAGTCGCGCAAAGACAGCTGAAGGCGAGCCGCAAAAGCACAGAAGCTACCCGTATCCTTGGTATCCTAGGTTAGCGCGGAGCATCACACACGTGTAGAAGACGCTATCCCGGTAGTGTCTCTCAAGGGCGAAGCTTGTGGAATAACGGGCTTGCTAGGCCATCCAACTGCTGGCAACTCTGGTCGTTGGTGCGGGCGGTGGGATGGAGTTTGATGGAGACATGGGCCGATTTTTGCACTTCTCCTGAGTCTTGGTAGCGCTGGTGGTGAATACGTGGGTGGCAACGGGCAACACGGCACTATTCTGCGCCTGGCTGCTATTTGGGGCTACAGATGGCGAGCACGGCTTCTTGAGCTGAGAGAGATGTTTAGGGACTGGGATCTGTTGTAAGACCTCTTTTGCAATCTGTTTCGTCGTTTTCTTATCGATCATCTTGGCCAAGACCGTTGGGTGAAGTGATTGCTGAAGAACCTGAAAGAGTGCGTCGTTTACCGGCGTCGCGGAAGCAAGATGAGTGGGAGAGAGCTTGAGCTGTTGAGGTACACGAATGCCGTGGAATGGTACACAGGCGACTCGAAGCAAAGAAGCACCTCATTCCGCGTGCTTCCCCGCGAGATCGTCAAATCGCCCAGGCATGGCACCTGAGTATGGGGAGAAGAAAAGTGGTGGCCCAGCTTGCGTACGTCTGCCTATAAGGTGAGCACGTAACATGACATGGGGGTGGAGGCTTGGCTGCGGTAGCTGTTCGTACGGATACAAAAGTAAGTAGTGCCTTGGGTAAGATACCTTAGGTAAGATACCTTAGGTAAGATAGCTTGGGAAGATAAGGTAAGGTAGCTGTTTGGATTGGGCAAGCACGCACGATATGAATTGAAATGCATCCAGTGTTTTGGAGGAAAGTGCACTTGCGTGGGTGGTAGACAGTCGAGGAAGGTGAGAATGGTGAGGAAGGCGCAGGGTAAGTCACTCGCAAGTACCTTTCCAGTGCTTCCGCAGGCGAACTGTCGTGAGTGTCACCCGCATCGATCAACGATGGACCACAGGCAGGAAGTCAATTCGTCGCTTCCGACTGGGAACCCCCCTCGTCCAATCCCCGCTCCCCTGTCCACCTTGGGCCATGGGTGCCAGGGCGGCCCTCTCTTCCCAAGTCCCGACCGGTAAAGTCGAGCGGTCCACGGACAGTCTAGGCCCTGACTATGCCATTCCCAGCTTTTGGCATTTGCAACATTTTCGCCCATTCACCCATTTTCGCCCATGGTCATGCATGATGGAGCACACCAGGGCACCTCAAGCCTCAAGCAATGGAGCGAGCAACACGGGGCAACACGCGCCCCCGGGGGAACAATGCATGGCTGGATGCTTCTCTTCTTCTTTTCTTCTGCCCCCCTTCGCCCCCATTGCCCCCATTGCTCCGGGGGGGGATGCCTCTCATCGCCGATTCACGCTGACATGCGCAATGGAACAACAACAACAACAACTCACTCACATCACTCTCAAACAACGGAGGACACGAGGGATATTCATCGGATCCCATCCATCCAACCAACCATTCTGCCCAGCATACGAGTACTGCCAGCCTGTCAATCGCCACTGTCTACGAATACCACCTACCGGTATACAACGTGGTAAATACAGCACTGAGGACAGAACATATCTGGATGCGGCCAAGGCAATGCCTTTTCCTTCCAAGCCGTGCCAGCCTGCAGTGCACACTTCATCCGGGCATTCCCAGCGATCTCATTCCGGCGGGCAATCGAGGTCAAGGTGCTCCAACCAGAGGTACGGATACAGCTGAATACAATACAGAGCAGATAGGTAATCACTTTCTCTACGGAGTACATCCTTTTCATTCTTCTGTACGGTGTATCATCCGTTCCAATACCAAGCTCTCCTCTTCCCACGAATCTTACGTACGCTGAAGAAATACCGTCTACTCCTGATCTCTAATCTCGCTGCCCCCTCCCCTCTACCCCTGCACATTACCCTTCCTATTCCCATCCAAGTTCCAACGTTCCCCATCTCCTGGCAAATCTGGCTCCCTTGACCATCGCAACACGAGCTAGCTTTCCCACCTCCAATGCTGCCCTAGGAATCGCCGCTGACCCCCGCCAGATGCTAGAAATGTCCCGGAGATGAGGCTACACTGTGGGATAGTCTGCTTCTGCAACGCCTCGGATGAAAGCGGCTCTCGTGGCTTCAATGAGCTGACGGAAACCCCTCTAACCCTAAATCATCCAACTCGTCCGCCAGCTTGCTTCTTCTCTTCTTTGAGCTCGCGCCAGGTCATCTGCGCTGCCACCTTTGGGCCAGTGGATTCATAAAGCCCGGGCCGCTGGCTGCCTGCTGCTAGTAGCTGCCGCAGTGCCGCCCATCGTGGAAACCGCGGCCATCGTCAAGATGCGTTCATATCGACATCGCTATAACCGCCACAGCGGCACTGTCTTGTGGGCGAGTAACAGACAGGCTCTCACCGTCTGTCTCACGACCATATTATCCACCCACAGAGTCCAGACTGCCTTACCCGTCGGCTGACCCTACCACGCCGCACCAGTGTTATGCTTCGCTACAAGGACATGGTCTGAAAGCAGCAGCAGAACAGCGAGATCTCACATCTCAATCCCAGCCCGCCACCTACCATCCACCACGCGCTGTTCCGTTGTTTACTCCACCTTAGAGCCCAGCCAGCGAGAGCACAGCTGGGTTGTTCCCGGGCTGCCCGCCGGGCGCTACTCTCTCACCGAACGCGTTCAACCAGTCTCGCCGAGCCACGGAGCTGCTCTCTTGATTCGCCATCTCCGCACCTCGGTCCCGTCTCTCGGCTTTGTTTATCCATCCGCCCCATCCGCGATTCACGGTGTTGAAACATTTTCCGAAGGAGACGATCACGAGCAACACCTGCAGCACACGCACGAATCGAATGCAGGGAAGGTTTGTTTGATATATTGTTATTTTGAAAAAAAATTGACAGTGAAAGAAAAGTAGTGTATCGTCAAGTCATTACAAAAGTCATAATGCCTCCTGTCGTCGCCGCTGGCCTGTCTAGGCCAATTCCCGGCTTGTTTTCCCGCCATATCCTTCCGACCAACCAAGCTCCGACCGTACAAGAGGATACACAGTGTCGTGTTTGTGTTCCCGACTTACATAACAGATATACAGAATCGTGTGTCTGAGGCATACATGATCATGATCTCGTAAACATTAGCGGCACCAGCGCCGACTGGCTCGACATGGACCGATCGTCTGGTAGCACGCTCACAAAGCTCCTCCCAAAGAGCCCTTCTCTCAACCGCATCTGCAGCCCACAGCTGTCTTTGTTCGCCACCGGTGCTGGCGAGCCCTTGCGGTGGTTAAACTCCCTCGAGAGCTTCATCAGCACCGCCGCCTTGGCCTTGCGAAGCGCGCTGACCCGCATCGCCGCGTCCTCGGCCAGCAAGCGGTGCGCCTCCTCCTGTTCAATATTCCGCTGCACCGAGGAGATGCCATCATTGGGGTCCGAGAGCCGACTGGCATTCGGGTCGTACACGGCCGGCTGGAGCAGGACCGGGTGCGGGGACATGTCCTGAATCGGCGCCGTAATAATGGGCACCGGCGTCGAAGGGCGGAAGACGTCGTCCTCTTCCGGGACTGGTGGTTGCTCCCTGTGGTGTTTGTGTTTGCGGCTCCTGTGGTGCCGCGATGGGCTCTCCTTTGAGCTGCTACTCTCCTTGTTGTTGCTTTTGTCACTGTTGTCCTTGCGGTGCTTTCTGCGCCGGTGGACACGCTTCTTCTTTAGTACTGTGCTGAAGGAGGTGCTGGCCTCCTTCGCGGCCGCGAGGTCTGAAGCCAGATCCTCGTCGAGGCCGTCATATGGATCGAATAGTTCTTCGTCAACGTATAATTCGCTGCCGAGGTCAAAGTCGAGTAGTTCTCGAGTGGCAGCGGCCGCCGCGGCGGACGGCGATGGTAGGTCGTCATCGTGATAGGGCTCCGGGTCCGAGTGCAGGCTACCGGCCTCGGAGTTGCTCCGCGAGTGCTGGGACCAGATGTCGCTGCCGCTGCCGTGGCCATGACCGGATGATGACGATGATGGGTTCTTCTCCATGAGCGGCGCGAGGGCCTCGTCCCAGTCGCCGCCGTTGATGAGCACGACGTTGTCAAAGTCAAACTCCTTTACTGTCTTTTGGTGCGCGTCGACTAGGTCCGAGAGCTGGGCGGCCGTCATGGTGGCGTTGCGGACCTGCATGTACCGCAGGCGGGGGAAGTGCATCGGCTTCCGGGCCGGCGCCGGCGGGAGGGGTGACATGGGCGACGTCACCTCTGCGAAGAGCTTCTTGCTGTGTTTGGGCGGCGCGAAGAGAGGATCCGCGGAGAGGGCGATGGGGCAGGGGCCCTTGGGGCCGAGCCAAGTGAAGTGAAGCTTCTCGAGGGTGCCGGAGAACTGGCGGATGTAGTCGTCCATGATCTTGAGGTGGTCCAACCCCGGCGAGGGCCCGTAAAAGTCCCAGGCCTCGACGGAGATGTTGAGCTTGCGGATCTGCTTCCAACGGCGTCCCGCGGAGGGGGCGGCGCCGAAGCCAGGGACGTGACGGAGGTAGTTGAAGGAGGAAGGGTGCATGCCGGACAGGGAGAGCTTCTCGAGGCGCTCGAGGGGCGCGCGCTCGACGGCGATGCGGAGGGACATGATGGCGTAGTCGACAATATCGCGGCGGTAGCGCTCCTGCGGGTCCTGGCCGGGGCAGCGGATGGTGAGGTGGCGGACGTTGGTGAGGTAGCGCAGGGCGTTGATGAAGCTGGGGACGTTTGTGGCGGCGTGGAAGAGGGGCGGGTACTGCTGCGTGAGGATCTCGCCGAGCTCCGTGTTTGCGTATTTCGGGCGGGCGAGGACGGAGGCCATGCTCGTGTGCGGGGTGTAGAGGAACGAGATCTCGCGGCCGGTGGTCGGGTGCACCAGGGGCGGGAGGAAGGTCGCGTCCGTGTGGGCGAAGTGGAAGTGGAGGTGTTCGATGTGGTGGCCCACGCGGGCCAAGGCCTGGATGCGAGATTGCTTCGTGAAAGTGTTTGCGGAGAATGTGACGCGGACGCGCTTGAAGAGGGGTTTTGTGGCGATGTTGCAGCAGGCTGGGCTTGCGAGGCGGAGGGCGGCGATGTCGCGTTTTGGGAGGAGGTCGAGGACTGCGGCGCCTAGGTGGGCGTGTTCCTTCTGCCAGAGGCAGTAGAACGGGGTTTGGTGGGCGGCCATTGTCTTCTCATGTCGTTGTGGAACTTCAAGCTGAGGTATTGTTGGTCGTTGAGACCCTTTTCGTGGGTGGTGTTTGGTAGGTGAGATGTGGTTGTGGGATATACCAAAGCAGATGCTGTGTCTGACTCTGGTCCAACACCGACAGTTTGTATGGCGGATATCAGGTTAGGTGAGGTAGGTAGGTCGGTAGAACAATATAAGTCTTTCAGTTGGGAGGACGGAGGGATGCAAATGCTCTCTTTTTCTTTTTCTTCTCTTTTCTTTCTGAAACAGATCCCCTTTCTTCCAATGGGCGAATGAGGTTATTCACAACCTCTTTTCTCACAGTAATACCAGTTAAGGATGATGCCTCGGTATATAGGTCAAGGTATGTATGAGCTGTCGTCTTATGAAACAAATAAGACGGGATATCAAAATTGGAAACAATGAAAGAT